CAAGATACCTGGTACTGAAGCACTATGCAAGCCCTGTGGGGAAAGAGAGGATACTTTAACAATCTTTCAAATATATTGGGTTATGCTTACACATAATGTAACTACCATCAAAGAAAGTTTCGTTGATAATCATAAGCTGATAGATATTTTCTTCTATAACCAAACTATTCCTTATCCACTCTTACAATAACAGGACTTATCTATAGGAAATGCTGTTCTTCAAAACATCAGAAAAAGTTATTCTTGAAATAAGATAGGTAAGTCAAGAGAGCTTACAGGATGTGATGCAAGTGTATTGAAGCTCCTGATCTGTTCCGATGGTGTAAGCCCCTCTGGAATTGTTCGGCCTCGTCTCTTTCGTTCTTGTGTGAGAACGGTGGCTGTGTCCTGCAGGCGAGCTACCACATCCTCGGTTAACCCTGCACCCTCTCCTGGAACATCTGCTGCACCTCCTGCTTCTGCTGTGGCAGCCTAGAAATATATTCTAATATTAGATTGCTTAAAAATATTTCTATATCAAATTGGGTAAACTGAGAAGTCAAATCATAATAAAATAATAAAAACACAATAAAGGTACTTAAACAGACAACTTACAATTGTTGGTCCAGCTGGGGTAGCAGGTGCAATACCGGCCTGTGGCTTGAGTGTTGCCAAGGCCTCACGAGCAGCTGTTACTTCCTTGTTCAGACGGGCAATGACACGAGTAGCAGCATCGTGCTGATACAAGGCATGACTGGAAAAAAATATACATGTACTTTTTTTCTTTTTCTTTTGAAAAGCTAGGACCTGCACATCTTAAATATCAAAACCTCTACATGATAAAATGAGTCTTTGATAAAATAATTATAAGAGCAAACAAAAGGATTGTATTATGTATAGTTCATCTTCATTTCCTGGCAATTCAACTATGAAGAAAATATTGCAGGCTCGATTTAGGCAGAATATACAAAAGGATGGTTTCTTGGCCTTTGACAGACCACTTCTTCCTCATTGACTGTTTGACAGTGTCCAACTACTGATTTGGACAAAAAATTGCAGACCTACCAATAAAAAAACAAAGTCTTAAGTTAGCCTGGATAAAACTTAACTGATACAATCAAGAGAATGAAGTAGTTTCTGAAAGCCATAACCTGAAAGGTAGTGTAAAACCTCTATCAACTGTTTCATGCCCTATCTTAGCACACTCATGTATAAAACTTCTTCAAAAATCCAACCTGAGTTCTTGGCGAGCAGTTTGCAGCTGCTGACGCAGAGTAAAGGAGTGAAGCATAACAGCATCCCACTCATCCTGCAGGGCTTTGAGGATTGCAGGAATACTAGTTGCACTTGGAGGTTTTGGCTTTGCAACAGTTGGAACTGCAAGAGGCAAGTAAAAGGCCTTGCTTAAAATAGAGCTTATGGATTAAAGTTTATAAATTATTTTTTCCAATGTTACAAACTTACTGTCTCATTCAAAAGCCAGAATTATCCATTGTGAGTAAACATACCTTTTAAGTCAATCAGCTGTTCAACTCTGAGTTCCTTGTTATTGATGGGGTCTGTTCCATTTTCTGCAATGTACTTCTCCAGAAGCCGGCGCTCAAAGACAGCGCCCGAAAGTGGGGATACCACTGGCTGGTCTGGCACCTCATTACTTACTGTGAAAAGATTATTAGAAAACCTTAATTAGTATCACATCCCTAAGAACAAGAGAAGAAAAAAAAAGTACCACAACAATTACACTTTTGGGAAAAAAACAATGAATGCAAAGTAAAATATGGTTACAATCATTCTGGAAAGTAAATCTAATCCAGTGAAGATTCATAATTTGCATCCAAGTAAAAATTAGCAAACCTCTATCATGTAATTTCTGATAAGACAGATCTTGGTGACCTCTATAATGGTTACCCATCTCCCTTTATCTTAACGTTTTTCACTATTTTTAACCTCTTTATGCCATATGCAAGATGGCAAGTATCTATGCTATACATGGTCAAGCCTGTTTATGTTGCACAGACTAATCAATTGTTCAATTGTTTAGCCATGATTGCAGTCACTGTGGATCCACTTGGTACACTAAATCTCTTATTTCCCTTTTACTGAAACATCTTTACATATTCTGCAGTTAAATCCACATACAGCAGGAAAACCATGCTTCTCATATTTTTAGTTTGTCACATTCCAACTTGAGCTTAAACCATTGACAAGCCAATAAAAAAAGGGAGATGACCCTAATTACAGAAACATCTTTACATATTCTGCAGTTAAATCCACATACAGCAGGAAAACCATGCTTCTCATATTTTTAGTTTGTCACATTCCAACTTCATTCAAAATCAGCAAACTAAACTAAACCTTGATGCCACATTTACTGTAGTACAGTACTTCAATGTTACCCCTGCCTTCAGCTATCAATATTAATATTAGCCTAGTGGAAATGGAATTTTGTAGGGGGGGGGGGGGAATGCAAACAATACTTCCATAATTTTAAAGGTATGATATGAATTAGTGTACTAAAGACATGCAAACTGGAAAAAAATACAACCAATCCTCTTCACTACTACTTTCTTATTAGATCATTTAACTTACATTTGGCAATCAACCCTGACCATATTACCCAGTACTGAGAGGTGTAGACCAGAGACTGACAACCAAAGTGAGAGGCATTCCTTTTAACCTATTTCTTCTGGATAGTTTGAGCCATTTCCTCGAGTTTAAATTGGAGCACAATTAACTGTATGCAACACACTGACGAGCAACCTGCCTGGGCGATGTACATGTCCATCCATGTTATTCAACATCATCATATATCAGCTTGATTCATAACCATAGTGAGTCTGAACAAAAAGTGTAAAGGTGTAGTTTTACTAGCTGCACACCCAACAAGCTGCGAGTTATCGAGGCTGAAATGTGCTAGGATGGTAATAAACTTGAGAAAGACTTATGTGATCAGTCAGCAGCATGCATAAACACTCTGCATGGTGGTAACTCAGGTCACTCAGGCAAATAACCAGTTTGTCCATGACACAGATATTAAACAACCCTGAGGCAAAGTTATGAAGAAACAAGCATCCTTTGGAAATCAGAATTATTAATCTTTGAATGTTTTGAGGAAACACTTGTGGTACGGTTAACCAAAACTCAAGAGAAACAAACTACCCTATGATTAAATAAAATATACAATCCAACTTCTGGGAAATAAAGTTGTGAAATTTAAAAATATGTAAACGACACTAACGGTTATATGTTTAATGAAGTTGTGGAATCCACTCTTTGAAGCACAAAATCAATTGATACACCAAGATAAGGCCAGAGAATAAGAACATTGTACTTCTGTAACTGAAAATCCTAAAATTATGTTAAGACGTCCTACAATCACAAAGATTCTAGTATAAGAAAATTGAGTCAAGAACTGATGTACGTTACACAATTTCTTTAAGCATAGAGCCATAATATGCACTTCATGGACCATATCCGCGTGTCTGCCACTGGCTTTCTCACTATCATTGACAAATCTCCACCATATATATTCTGAAAACACAGTTTGTACACCTTCTCCTTGATTTATCATGTGACAAATAGTCTCTTCTTTGCCACAAAATACATAGTGATGGTTTGTCGGCCTTTACCAGAGAGCTAGTAGCAATCACTGAACACTAAACAATTTTCAAGTTTGGTACGATCATCAGCCTTCCATCACAGATCATAAAAAGTGGAGTCATCTAGAAGCAATAGCATAGAGAGTGGTGAAAATGCATGATTTCCATATTTTAAAATTTTCACTCAAGTGGATGGCTGCAACAGAGATAATATCATCATCATGAGAGGAAACAATACTAACTAAACCGACGAGATAAATACTGGATGATATATTACTTCATAATGCCAGTCTAAGAAGCTTAATAACTTCGAGTAGACATAGAAATAAACGATGCGATTCAAATCTCTCTCACCCTCACGCTCCAAAACACCCGAGAAAACTCCTCACTTACGAAAATACTAGTTTTCCATATATCACCAATATACAGAACTTCACCCCCATGCCGTCAAAATTCTCAAAAACAACCACCTCGGTAAATAATCAGCCCAAAATACCTTCAAGAAAAAATATTATTTCTTGTGCATCGTGGCCCTCGAGCGGCAAGCGTCTACCAGCGGCTCTCACGGTATCTCCTTATTCAAAATCTACGCCTCTATATCTCACAATTCTTATATCCTAAGATGCACAAGGCCATGTCTATTCTTCATGAAATAAATGGTTAACGAAGAGACAGAATCTTGGGAGATAAGTGGGAAAAACTTGGTGAGCGACCATCACTTACTTGCGCATATGAGAGACATGTTTTGTTTATGTGGTCAAATGAGCTCCCCTGTTGCCTGGGATTAAAAAAATTACACGCTTCGCTGTCATTTGTAGAAAATAATTCATTTTTATATTTTTGGCGTCTTGTATTGGTGTATATGTGGCTCTGGAAAAAGCGTAGGTTGAGAGAAAGTGATATATGAATATATCTTGATAAAAGTTCGATTTTCCAAAGGAAACATTTCAGCCCTTCGAAAAATGGCTAATACTCTGAAAAAATATTACAGTTAAATTCAACAAAAAAGAATAGAAGCTATTTGATAAATGCCTACGAAATATCCTTTTTATCTTTTTAAATGTTTGTTACTGATACAGAGCACCACATTCCTTAAAATTATGGGCCCATCGTCATCATCATATCTTTCGGTAATGTATAACACCGCGACTTCTTACTCTTCATGAATACTTAAATCAACACACCTTTTCTCTAAACAGAAAACATATCCTTTCCTTAGTTCCTAATGGGGAAAACATATACAATTCGGAAATACTTGTAAAATCAATTCACTTCAGACAGTGACAGAGAAAATCGAAATAAACAAATATAACCAAATTAATGCATTGCACCAACTTTAAAGAGAAAATAATAACAGTAATAAAAAATAACATGATTGCATTGCCTCAAAAGCCTTCGTTTTTTAACCCTCTCTCGCACAGCCTCAGTCGGCCGCTCGCAACAATGGAGAGAGGTCATTCTTCGCTGAAGCTCCTCATTGGGGCCCTTCTCTTGTCAGCAGTTTTTGCCGAAGTTACGGACAAAGATGTAGTGAAGGCTAGAGTGGAGGTAAGATTAAGAATGGATCTTTAATTAAGGAGAATATACATACCTGACGTCATTTGGGAAAAGCGTAGATACGGCGTTAATTATAGGTATACCAAACCTATCCAAGGACCGAAGTGGCTGAAAAATCACAGGTGTGTAAACATATTGATTGATACATCGTGTACACCCCTCATGACATCGAACACTAACTCATTTTTAGACCGAATGACAGATTAATTATTCGGAAAAACGGAAAAGGTGTACTGGAAAATATTAAAGGTGTATTGCAATGCACAGTCCAGGTTGCAGCAGCTAACAACATCCTTTGAGGGTTGCTGTCATGCACGCCCATGTGGGTGTTCGTTTGGTAATTCTGTCAGTTGGAAATGAGGATTTGATATGCTGTATTATTTGAGTTTTTATTTATCTATTTATTGATTAGTAGTATTGTTATTGTTATTGTTATTATTATTATTACTATTATTATTATTATGGTAGATACTATTACTTTGTAATGGGATATGCTTTTACGTATTTACAGTTAACTATCTACGTTTCCATCTCTGTCTATACATCTGAGTCTGCTTGAACGTCTGCTTTTCTGTGCATATCTCTCTGCCTGCCTAGGCATCTGTCTGGCTGTCTGTCTGCCTGTGCATCTATCTGTATGTCTGTCTACCTGTGCATCTGTGTGTCTATGTGTCTACCTGTGCATTTGTGTGTCTGTATGTGTCTACCTGGTGCTATGTGTCTGTCTGTCTACCTGGTGCATCTGTGTGTCTGTATGTCTGTCTACCTGGTGCATCTGTGTGTCTGTATGTCTGTCTACCTGGTGCATCTGTGTGTCTGTATGTCTGTCTACCTGGTGCATCTGTGTGTCTGTATGTCTGTCTACCTGGTGCATCTGTGGTGTCTGTATGTCTGTCTACCTGGTGCATCTGTGTGTCTGTATGTCTGTCTACTGGTGCATCTGTGTGTCTGTATGTCTGTCTACCTGTGCATCTGTGTGTCTGTATGTCTGTACCTGGTGCATCTGTGTGTCTGTATGTGTCTACCTGGTGCATCTGTGTGTCTGTATGTCTGTCTACCTGGTGCATGTGTCTGTATGTCTGTCTACCTGTGCATCTGTCTGTATGTGTGTCTACCTGTGCATCTATGTGTCTGTATGTGTGTCTACCTGTGCATCTATGTGTCTGTATGTATGTGTCTACCTGTGCATCTATGTGTCTGTATGTCTGTCTACCTGTGCATCTATGTGTCTGTATGTGTGTGTCTCTGTGCATCTGTGTGTCTGTATGTCTGTCTACCTGTGCATCATGTCTGTCTAACCTGGTGCATCTGTGTGTCTGTATGTCTGTCTACCTGTGCATCTCTGTGTGTCTGTATGTCTGTCTACTGCCTGTGCATCTGTGTGTCTGTATGTATGTCTACCTGTGCATCTGTGGTGTCTGTATGTCTGTCTACCTGTGCATCTATGTGTCTGTGTCTGTCTACCTGTGTATGGTGCCTGTGTGTGTGTCTACCTGTGCATCTATGTGTGTGTCTACCTGGTGCATGTGTGTGTCTGTATGTCTTGTCTACCTGGTGCATCTACTAGTGTCTGCTATGTCTGTCTACCTGTGCTATGTGTCTGTCTACCTGTGCATCTATGTGTCTGTATGTGTGTCTACCTGTGCATCTGTGTGTCTGTATGTGTGTCTACCTGGTGCATCTGTGTGTCTGTATGTGTGTCTACCTGGTGCATCTATGTGTCTGTATGTGTGTCTACCTGGTGCATCTATGTGTCTGTATGTGTGTCTCCTGGTGCATCTAATCTGTCGTCTGTATGTGTGTGCTGTGCATCTATGTGTCTGTCTGTCTGTCTCCCTGTGCATGTCTGTATGTCTGTCTACCTGTGCACCTGTGTGTCTGTATGTCTGTGTCTGTGCATGTCTGTCTACCTGTGCATCTGTGTGTCTGTATGTCTTGTCTACCTGGTGCATCTGTGTGTCTGTATGTCTGTCTATGCATTTGTGTGTCTGTATGTCTGTCTACCTGGTGCAATCTGTGTCTGTATGTCTGTCTACCTGTGCATCTGTGTGTCTGTATGTCTGTCTACCTGTGCATCTATGTGTCTGTATGTCTGTCTACCTGTGCATGCTATGTGTCTGTATGTGTGTCTACCTGTGCATCTATGTGTCTGTATGTCTGTCTACCTGGTGCATGTGGTGTGTGTCTGTATGTCTGTCTACCTGTGCATCTATGTGTCTGTATGTCTGTCTACCTGGTGCATCTGTGTGTCTGTATGTCTGTCTACCTGTGCATCTGTGTGTCTGTATGTCTGTCTACCTGTGCATCTGTGTGTCTGTATGTCTGTCTACCTGTGCATCTGTGTGTCTGTATGTCTGTCTACCTGTGCATCTATGTGCCTGTCTGTCTGTCTACCTGTGCATCTATGTGCCTGTCTGTCTGTCTACCTGTGCATCTATGTGCCTGTCTGTCTGTCTACCTGTGCATCTATGTGCCTGTCTGTCTGTCTACCTGTGCATCTATGTGCCTGTCTGTCTGTCTACCTGTGCATCTATGTGCCTGTCTGTGTGTCTACCTGTGCATCATGTGTCTATGTGCATGTATGTGTCTGTATGTCTGTCTACCTGGTGCATCTATGTGTCTGTCTGCCTGTCTGCTGTGCATTTTTCTGCCTATGTGTCTGTATGTGTGTCTACCTGTGCATCTATGTGTCTGTATGTGTGTCTACCTGTGCATCTATGTGTCTGTATGTGTGTCTACCTGTGCATCTATGTGTCTGTATGTGTGTCTACCTGTGCATCTATGTGTCTGTATGTCTGTCTACCTGTGCATCTATGTGTCTGTATGTGTGTCTACCTGGTCTATGGTCTGTATGTGTGTCTACCTGGTGCACCTATGTGTCTGTATGTCTGTCTACCGGTGCCTATGTGTCTGTATGTCTGTCTACCTGGTGCATCTATGTGTCTGTATGTGTGTGGTGTGTGTCTGTATGTGTGTCTACCTGTGCATCTGTGTGTCTGTATGTGTGTCAACCTGTGCATTATGTGTCTGTCTGTCTGTCTCCCTGTGCATTTTTCTGCCTGTGTGTCTGTATGTCCTGTCTACCTGTGGCATCTGCCTGTGTGTCTGTATGTCTGTCTACCTGTGCATTTTTCTGCCTGTGTGTCTGTATGTCTGTCTACCTGTGCATTTTTCTGCCTGTGTGTCTGTATGTCTGTCTACCTGTGCATTTTTCTGCCTGTGTGTCTGTATGTCTGTCTACCTGTGTCTGTATGTCTGTCTACCTGTGCATTTTCTGCCTGTGTGTCTGTATGTCTGTCTCTGTGCTTTTCTGCCTGTGTGTCTGTATGTCTGTCTACCTGTGCATTTTTCTGCCTGTGTGTCTGTATGTCTGTCTACCTGTGGATGTCTCTGTCCATGCATTTATCTTGTGTGTGCATTTTCCTCTCTCTCTCATTCACTTTTATAGAATGTGACTCGGTTTTATTAGAAGTACAAATGGAAATAGATCTTGGATATGTTATGCTGTGTCATGATGAAACGCCAAAATATATTTCGTCATCCGAATTTTAAAGCCTGTGACTGGAAGTTCGACTTTTTCTGCATTTGGCCTTCATGAGGTATGATTTTTTGTTTTTTTTTTTTTTTCGTTTTATCACTCAGGCATGCTGTGTTTTACTATGGACTATGCCCCGCCCCCTCACACGCACACACACACGCACACACGCACGCACGCACGCACGCACGCACGCACATGCACACACACGCACACACACGATGCACACAAACAAACACACACGCACGCACACACACACACACACACACATGCACCACACACACACGCACACGCACACGCACACACACACACCACAATTTCGTCCTCGTCACCTGCCTGCATCATCCCTCCTTTTTTCTCGCTTTGTCTGTTTTTTCCGTCTCTCCTCTCCACTTTCTCTTTGTCTTTGCCTTCTTGTTTCCTCTCACTTTGCCTTTGCCTTCTTTTTTCCGTCATCTCTCTCCCTCTTTCTCTTTGTCTTTGCCTTCTTGTTTCCGTCTCTCTCTCTCCCTCTTTCTCTTTTGCCTTCTTTTTCCGTTTCTCTCTCTCTCCTTCTTCTTGCCTTCTTTCTTCTCTCTCTCCCCTCTTTCTCGTCGTGCTTTCTCGTTTCCTCCATATTTCCCTCTCTCCCACTCCCCCCTCCCTATATCCCTCTCCTGCTACTTTCCTCCCTTCCTCCCTCCCTCTCTCTCTTCCTTCCCCATCTCCCACATCTATCCCATTCCCCTTTCCTCCTCCTTTCCTTTCTCCCTCATTCTCCCCACCCATTTTCCCTTCCCCCAACCCCTCTCCCACTTCCATTACTAGGTCCCTTCCCTCCTCCCATGTCCCTCTTCTCCCTTCCCCAACCCTTCTCCCTTCCCTTCTCCCTTCCCCCCCAACCCCTTCTCCCTTCCCCCCCCCAACCCCTTCTCCCCCCAACCTTCTCCCTCCCCAACCCTTCTCTCCCTTCCCTCCCCAACCCCTTCTCCCTCCCAACCCCTTCTCCCTTCCCTCCTTCTCCCCCCCCCCCCCTCCTTTCTCCCTCCCCTCCCACCCCTCTTCTCCCTCCCACCCCAACCTCTTCTCCTTCTCCCCCTCCATCCCTTCCCCCCTTCCCCCTCCCCTCGCCCCCGACGCTATTCCTCTTGCTTCACCTTCCCCCCGCCCCCCGCCCCCACCCCCACCCCACAGGTCCAAACGTCGCACATTGCTATTGGCTGTTCGTATCCAAGACAGCTGCCCAGGTGTACATGCTCGAGCAGGTGTTGGCGCGAGGAATGATAGCGTTGTAACACGTGTGTGTCTTGTTGAAAGTAATATTTTTTTTTCTTTTTCAATTTTATTTCGCTTACAGATGAGAGACAGATGCTCGATGGTCACGGATCTCCACAGGTTTTTTTTTTTTTTTTTTTTTTTGGGGGGGGGGGGATTCTTTGTTGTACCAACGGGGGGTTCATTGTCCGAGTGTGTGTGAGTGATAGTTTAGAGTAATGAGTCATTGGTAGTTTGTTCAGGGTCGGGGGCTGTTCCTCTTTCAGGTTGTGGGTTTAGGGATGTGGATATGTGTGCATACATGATTTTTTGAATGGCGAGCCTTTTCGTAGCACGTGAAGGAAATGTGGTTCTGTTGATATATATATATTTTTTTCGCTTGTAATACTTTGTTGTCGATTAGGTTGTAGGTTATTGGTTTATAATTGTGTGGATACATTTTCATTATGACTTGCGCTATTTTATTAGGTTGAAGGTCTTTGATATACGGTTGTATAAAAACCTATTAGATATGATTCTTGCATTCGACTGTTTATTAGATCGCAGGTTTCTGACATACAATTGTGTGAATACATTTTTATTATGCTTCTATTATTTATTATGGCGTCGGTCTTTTTATGTGCCGTTGTATGATTGCCCTTCCATTACGGTTCTTGCATGACCTAACCAGCCTTTGCGTGTTGATGGCGTGCATCCTTCTCACGATGACCTTGCACGCTCCTTCGCTGTAATGCTGATGGGGCACTTCCTGCGCTCCCCCCCCCCCCTCGTCGAGCCGTGCCTGTAGGCCTTTCGGGCTCGCTGGGCTGTGCTTGCAAGCTCCGGACTGGCCTGGGGAGCGAGGAGAAGGGTTTGGGGGAAGTTTTACTTGTCCTTTTTTCTTTTATCTGTTTGATATATTTTTTTTGTTTGTTTTCCTTTGTCTGTGTGTTCGTTTCTTTGCTTCTTTGTCTCCTTTTTCGTATCTTGTTCTTTGTGGTGGTCACCTTGGCGGTCTATATCTGTGCGGTTATAAAAAGTTGAACTTTACAGATACGTGATCGTAAATGTGTTCTGTCACACCTGGGTCGGTATGATATATTTAAAAGATCATATACATGTTTATTGCTTATAAGAATGTGTGCGCGCCCGCCAGAGAATTCGTATAAATGCGGGCGTTTGCGGGCGTGAGGAGGAGGCTGTGGTAAAGAATATTCTGTCAATATCCAGTGCTAATGAACTCCGTGTGTCTATCGGCACAAACCTTCCGGTGCATTTCCGCGCCAGATTAATTATTTTGTTGAAATATGTTTTTGATGTTTGAGGAACTTTTGATCGGTTGTATTCGTATGTTTTTGTCTGTATTGATGTTATTGATTATATATTTTGCTAAATGTATAAGCTTGTATTTTCAAAGGGCACTTGGAAACATGGAAATGTATTATGCAACTGTATGAGCATGTATTTTATATGAACACACAAGTAAATGAGGATATTTAATCAGAGAAATGTATTTTTTTTATATGAATCCTACAAACTGTAAAAAATAATGGTAACTTTGCATATTACAGCTCCACAGGTATTAAAAGAAATCAAAGGCTAGATTTGACGTATCAGCGATTTTTTAAATGAGATAAAGCTATAATTTATGTGTAGTTGAAGAGTAATGAACGTTAATAATTTATTGGCCGGACAATTTAATTACCCAATAACTCGTGCTGGTTATGTTGAAGCACCGTTTCTCTAGCTAACAGGGAACGCTCTCATTCTGTTTCATGTTCTATGTTTTTGTTTGTTTGTTTTTGTGGTAAATAAGGATGTGGACTGATGTGGTGAATGTGTGATGCGGGTGAATGATGAGGTTGAGCCTATGAGATCCTGTTTCCCCTACATTTTTTTCTTTGAAATTTGATGTGTATCTTTTGATTTTTTTCTTTTCTTTTTTTTTATGGTGAAATATTTTAGTTAGACAGATGGGTGGAAAGACGAAGGGAATAGAAGGTGGAAGAGGGGAAAGACGAAGGGGAGAGAGACTTGAAAAAGGAAAGAATATGGGAAGAGAGAAGGAAAGGAAATGGATCGAAGGACAAGAGAAAGCTGGAAATAGAAGAAGAGAGATGCATGCATAGAAACAAACATAACCCATACATGCGTACTTAGATATAGACATTATAATCGCATTTACAAACATTATGATCATATGTGATGATATTACTAATATATTTCCAGAGGTTTGGATGCTATGTCGAAAGACCTTGGTTTTATACATATATGTCGCATTATAATCGCATTTGCAAACATTATGATCGTGTGTAAATATTTCCATTATATTTCTAGGTGTTATGATGGCATGCTTAAAGACCTTGGTTATATATATATTGTTTTTTTCAGAGCTGCAGTGGATGACGTCTGAATAGCCTCCCACAGGTGAAGAAATTCATCATGGAGGACATGCCACTCTTGTATCCTTTTACATAAGGCTTTTACAGCGAAGGTTATCAGGTGTTTTCTTTTTTTTAAAGTAAATTTGTCATTATGTTATTGGTTTATTCCTTAGTTTTTTTTCGTTGGGGATTTGGATTAAATAGTTTAGTCAATATATTATGATGGTAGTTTATTTCTTAGTTTTATTTTTCGTAGGGGCTTTGAATTAAATAATCATTATAGTGTTATATGACCTTTGATGTCTAGCACATTTATTTTCTTGTCATTATTAGTCATTATGTTATGGTGTTAGTAGTTTATTCCTCAGTTTTTTTTTTAGTTAGAGCCTTGAACTAAATAGTTTAGTCATTATGTTATGAAGTTGGGGGCTTTGATTCGTGTTTTATAAGGGTGTAGGTGTGTTCTTCGTCTGGGGAAGTGAATGGGTAATTGAAGTATTTAGCGGGTAGGTCATTTTACACTCGCGTAGGATTACCTCGGGTATAATGTTATCTGGGTGGTGTAATGTTGCACAGATCGGAGCGGTGTTTTCGTAAACTTTTGTGCTTATGTTTTTCTTTTTATTTGGATTTATTTGGATTTATTTGGATGCATTTCTTCAAGGATTCCGAGGTGTTTGAAAGTTTATCCGCTTGGTCTCATTACTCAGTGGAAAGACGTTCGTAATGAGCTATGCAAATGAGGGAATGGCAGGTTTAGAAAAAGGTTTAATATATGCTGATTTGTCGACACTTGAGTATGTTTAAATCACAGTGCGAGGTGGAGATGAGGTTGCTTGTGCATGATTTTCTTGTATTTTCGTTCCAATTTAAAGGGCTGGGACCAAAACTTCACGGAGCTTGTGAGAACTATTATACAGCCTTTGCTTAATTCACAGAGAAGGTATTAGTCCAAAGACAAAGAATCCCGAAGTTTGATTTAAAAAAAATCTTCAGCCTTATCGTCAGTAATTCAAAATTATTCGCTTCAGCCTCTTGAAATGTTTTGAATTAGTTAAGTAATAAAATAAATGTGCTAGACGTCAAAAGGTCATAGAATTTTGAATTAGGCCAGACACCCCCCCCCCCCCGGTACCATATTTGCTTCACCTTCAAGTAAACCGTAAGACTCTCGACTAAGAGCTCCTTGTCCGAAGCCAAAATCTCGGCTTTTTCTTAACCGATCACCAGTCACAACGCCGACGTGAAATTCATCGGCGGTGCCCCTCCCGAGCTGGTGCTGCTCAACGCTTCGAATGAGGTTGGTGCTCTGGAGATGCAGGTGGAAAGCGTCGTGGTATTGAGGTGTTGGTGGCATGGTAGTACTACAGGGATGCTTTTGTTTTTGTATATATATGTTTGTATGTGAATCTAAGTTTTTATCGTGATTGTCTTTTTTTTTAATCATGAGGCAAAGTAAAGTATATGATAACGTAAGTTAATATCCAACAGCTGATATATTCTGTAGTTGACCTCTTTCCATGACCTGTTCCCACACTTCCCCCACCAACCAGGAGGTGGAGCGTCTGCCCCTGTCCGAGCTGAACCGCGAGGAGTGCAACATGCTCATGCTGAAGAAGGGCTTCTACAAGAAGACCAAGAAGGACGAGGAGGTTCCCGACCAGTACCGGGAAGGGCCCTACAAGGAGAGGGTGGAACTCTAGGATGTGATTTTTTTTTAACCTAACGAAATGTAGTTCAACAGCACACGCCAGGCATTTCTCTTGGTGGCGGGCCACGTGTTCAATTCTATCCCTTCCGTTTTAATTTGTAGCGTGTGCAATTAGACCTTAAGTTAGATGCACATAAAAAAAATCATTATTGTGTGTAAATGAAGATTTATCAGTTTATAGTTTCCTCCTTTGTACTTTTTCACCTCCCTTTGTATCGCGACGAGGAGTGGACGTGGCGGGGCGAGGGGCCGTCGGCGGTCGGGCGGCGCCATGAAGAGGGCGGCGGAAAGGGTGAACACTCGCGTCGTCTTCGGATGCCAGAAGTCGTCCTGGCAGCTGACGGCCGTTGCTCCGCCTGTTGATGGACTCGTTGCAGATCCTAATAAGATGTGTGATTTAAAACGGATATTTGTCATGTTTCAATAACCTTTCTGGGGGAGCTGGGGGGATTTGGTCATGCAAAGAGAAAAAGAAAGATTTAATCAGTGGGTAGTCATTTTATTTTGTTTTTGAAGCTTATTAGGCACTACTAGTCAATTAAATTATCATATCTGGAGGCTTGAGTGGAGATCTACATTCTCAAATTAAGCTGATTTCGACTAAAATGTGAAGATTGATAAACGTAATCATCTGTGCGATTTTATCTTGTTGAAATAATAGATTACATGAAAGTTTTACAAGGTTTTCATCTGAACACGGAAATCCCGTCTTCTGTGAGCAACATGTATCAATAAAATTGATATGAAAAAACCTTTCTTATCAAAATGTGTTCGTAGGCTTGTAAATCCGGCCGCTTTGTCTTCATGTATTGATTTTCACGCGCATTACACTTTTCCTACCATTAAGAAGGATTATATTTTCACAATTCTTAAAAGTATAAAGGGGGAAGAAACGGGGACACAAGCAATATATTTTAAGGGCAAATTAAACGACTCGCAACAAATGCGCATCGTGCTACTTGTTTGTTTTTTAGTCAAATGAGTTAGGCCAACATTTTCCAATAACTAAGGTGAATTAGAGTGTGAAATGTAGCAAAATGAAGGAGTAAAGGAGGTAAATTTTGTCTGCTTTGTCCTTTTTGATACTGTGGAACTTTAGCATAAAATATTGAAAAAATGAACACCTAGCATTTATATCTTTCTTTATTATTATTTTTCATCGTTCATATCTAGACCGGACAAATCATCCTCATATAAGGAAGCAATCAAATCCATAATTTTAAAATCAGGATGGAATCACAAGTCAATTTCACATAGAGAGTCAGTTGAAATCATTCCAGTAGCTAGCATTTCCCTCAGTCTGGGCCTAGCAACCATGGCGAAAGGGAGTGTCCAGCTCCTCCTCCTGCTGGGGGCGGTGTTCTCTTATACCCTCGCTGAAGAATTACGTGAGACTGCCATTGCCAAGGCTCGCGTCGAGGTGAGTTAAGCGATGGTGATGGTTTATTCGGTAAAATTAAGAATGTATTCGTTGAGAAATCTATGGAGACGGAGTAAGAAGGTTGACGGGTTGTCAGGGATACCAAGTGTTGTATTTTGACGTTTGGCGTTTTACTCGTTTCGTAATTTTAATCCTATTCCCTTGTTGATAAAACAATCAGAATATCAACCAGTACGTTATTAGGTCGTCCAGCATGGTTAAAACCAAATCGAACAAGTAGATCTTTAAGGGAAAATCAAGAAAAAATACAAAGACAAAATGTAAAAACCGGCGACTTCGAAAACAACGCTGTGGCTTCCCATTGGCTGTGGTTATGACGTCATGCAACAGCTGTTTGGTCTCACAAGGAAGGAAACACCTGTGAAGCGGCCGTTTGTCTTATTTCATGATGATACTGACTTGTCTTGGGGGTGAAAGATTAGGAAATAGATTTGTCTTGTTTTCTTTGTTCTTGGGAATGGCTTGTGTGGAGAAATAGGACTGTTATAAACTGGGGAAATTGCTCATTATTTACAAAATGTTTTATCAGTCTGATATGACACGGTCGTGTGAAGATAATCATGTATATATTCACTGAATCGGTCCTTTCACCGGCTTTCTAGTATTAACACAATATTTATTACCGCAGTTGAGTTTAGAAGCAATTTATAATAATGCGGATTTAGCATAAGTATTGTTGCTAGGCATAATGATCCCTTTGTATAATGTAATTCTGATTATACATCGTAATGATGTAGGCAAACACCTTGATCATTACGTAATGCCCATATATGAAATAATCATGTATGTTGTGTACTGTTAGCTTCATTAATAACGTACCTCTTTATAGACTTTATGAATAAGGTACTCTCAAATAGGTGAATTTTTATTTGCATATCATACCGGCCATGTGGCATTTTGATAACGATGTCCCGATGTGTCACCGCTATACGTCTGTTAAACAGCTGTAATTTGCGACATGCATTTTATATTTGTACACTCGGAAATGAAAGGATAGACAAAAATCGATGACTGATAATTAATCGGTGAATATTGACATATTAAGAATTAATACTTAATTAAATAACTTAATTTTAGTCATTAAATAACTTTGACACCCGTCATTACAGTTATGTATTAGCGTTAATTTTCTTGAACGTAAATACTCGTAAAGCGTGGTTTGCAAAGTTGAGACTAATGGTTGGTTTGTTAATGTTGCAAGAGGTCCCACCCAATGAATATTCATACAAGTGGAGAGACGTATACACAGAAATTATGTTAGTCAAGATATGTATTATATATATAAGGCAATATAAACGCATAGTATACATCAGATATAAAACGCATATCTGCTACTCTGATAGATCGTTGTGCATTATTTGTGTATATGTTCATATGTATTCATTGAACTGGCCTCTCGCATTGTAAACAAACCGGCCATAATGTACATGGATTTTGAAAAGTATAACCGTGATATTCGGATTTTGAAAACGGTTACATCAGAAAGATTTGTTAACGTGTGGCCGCATTCGAATTAATATGCTGTGTGATACATCTGAGCACGTATTCTCAGACACACCCTTTGGCGATGATAATGCGCTTACCAAACACAAAGAAAGAAGAGTCAGTGGTGAGTAAAAATGAGAAACAAAACCTAAAACGTGTACAGATGAAACGCAATTTGGAAGAAAAGAAATTGTGTAATACATAGGCCATGATTTCGTTGTGCTACTTTCTATTGTATCTTTTTAATGTATGAAGTGTGGTTTATGACTTTCTTATTGTCGCAGTACTTTGATAAATGTATGGTTCGAAACCTGTGGTTTATGACTTTAGTATTGTAGTAGTATTTTGATAAATATGGTCATGTTTAATGTATTTCCAAATGCTAGTTGGACAGGAAGAGAGGAGAGTTTAAGGACAGAAGTACTTGGCAGAACTGGTACACGATACAACTAGCACGTTAGCTCTTGATTTTTAAAGCGCGTTTAACGTTATTAGTAGTTTTGACCACCTGATGTGTTTTTTATACTGAAATTATCTTTAAAAATGCTGCGGTGATTTTAAGAAATTTTTAAATAGTTACACAATTTTCACTCTTCCCTATCCCACCCACACCCCCCTTCCCCTACTCTCTCCTCTCACCCTCAACCTTCCTCCCTACCCTCCACCTCCTCCTACTCTCTCTTTCCTCCCCTCTCCCCCCTACTCTCTCTTTCCCCCTACTCCCCGTACTTCCCCTACCTCTCTTTCTCCCACCCTCCCCATCCCCCCTACTGTGTCTAATTTCCTCTCCTCTCCTCATTACAGTGACCATAACGAACCTAACCTTTTATTTACTTCCAGAGCTGCGGCGGATGACCTTGAACGGCTCCCCGGTGAAGAAAATTCATCCACGAGACATCCCTTGTTTGTATCCTTTTGTCCGTCGGTTCACTCGTCGCTCGAGGAGGGAGGGAGGTGCGCTAAGAACGATGACGGATATTTATTTCTCGATACGTTGGTTTGGAAGATGTATGAATAGATAGATGCATTAGGGGAGGGGGGGTTTGTGGTGTGTGTGTTTGTTGTGTGTGTGTGTGTGTGTGTGTGTGTGTGGTGTGTGTGTGTGTTTGTTTGTTGTATTATATATAAATGCTTTAATGGCAATCTAAGACTTACCTTTTTCATCATACATGTAGTCAAATAGTATTTAACAAAACGAAGAAAATGTCTTGTGAACTGCGGCTGTAATGCTGTTTTAGATTTATCCAATATTTCCAGCTGTTCGATATTTCCCTAACTTTATTTCTCAGCCACAATGCCAAGTTCAAGCAGATAGGAGGTGATCTGCTTCAGGTCAGGTGTCATCAACATTTTATAATATTTTGACCAGGTAGGTCTCAATCAACATTTTTATATGTTTTGTTATATTTCCTGAAGTTAATGGGTCACTTTCACGTACATTGAAATTGGACTCTTTTTATGTCATCCAAAAACTATAGCATTAGGAGTGAGATTTTGACATGGCATTAAGGGAAGTTTTTGGTTTTCATCTCTTGATCACGATGTTGTCTTCATTTAGTATTCTTGTCGAGAAAGTACAAAATTGTAATTATATTGATTGGAAAAAAAAGTAGGTTTGCGATTTGTCTTGGCGATAGATCGAGGAAAGTTACAAATCTGAGAAATCTAGAAATTCATTGAGAAACTAACTAATATAATAATCGGCAGGTTGTGGAGCGCCTACCCCTGGACAAGTTGTCCCGCGAGGAGTGCAATAAGCTCATGCTGAAGAAGGGCTTCTACAAGAAGAGTTCACCCGAAGAAGAAGTCCCTGAAGAATACCGTAACGGGCCTTACACAGAGAGGGAAGAGCTCTAAATGAAAGCTCGGGCATTGGCAATAAAATAACATGTTCCCTTAGAAGCAATTTTGGTAACTGTGTCGTCACTTTTCATCGTGGGAAAACCCATCTGTAGAAATTTTCGAAGTCGGTTAGATAGTGTCAGCATAATAGTCAATTCCGTAGTTAAATCAGAGCAGATAGTACTTAGATTTTATTTTTTGAAATGTCGATTTTTATATAATTAAAACATAAAGACTCCAAAATGCAGCTTTATTCCGTCAGCAAACCTTTGTTACCAATAAGAAGCCTCGAAGCACTCGAGGGAGGACACGATTTTCGACATGAAGGGGATCGCGAAAAGGGTTCGACTCAAGTGATCCTTGGAAGCAAAGAATTATCTGGTTTTCCTTTTGAGTTTTTCGAGACGTATGCATTCCGTTGATTTTTTTTGTAGTTGGAATAAAATTTAATTTTAAGTAAGGTGTTTTTTTCACTCCCGTTTTTTGTGTGTGTGTGTGTGTGTTGGAAGGCGAAGGTGAACGTTAGACAAATGATTGATAAGAAACCCAAGCTTAAAGGTATCACTGATTCTTATGGAGTTGTGTGAGTAACTGATAAGAAATTAGCTGAAATTGGATTCGTGGAAATCCTATCTAAAAAT